CTGACAGCAATTTCGAACGAAATTTACGAACTTTGTACTACCTTCAGACGCTTATTAGATTTTTACATAGATGCATTTATTCGGATTTATAAAATGGTGTTATATTAGTTGGCCAAAGAGAAATGTTAAAATTTTCAAAAAATAAGAATTACGTTTGTATAGGTTGGTTTATATGAAACATGATATTTTGAAAACGGAAAATTAGTCACTGACAAATTGCAACATTTATAAGTTTGTGGGTTAGTAAATTTGTCGACTTTTGTAATTTTGAAATTATCAAATTTTCAGAATTCAAAGTATCAGAAACTTTAAACTTTTGTATTTCAAAATTAGAATACTGTCAAATTTCTGTATATCTAAATTTCTAAAATTGATATAGAGTTTTTGGAATATATGTGTTTTAGGATTTAAGGATTTTTGGATATATAGATTTAGAAAGCTGGGGATTTTTGAGTATATGGATTTTGGAATCTAGGGATTTTTGAGAATATGGATTTTGGAATCTAGGGATTTTTTAGTATATGTATTTTAGAATCTAGGGATTTTTGGTACATGGATTTTCGGATCTAGGGATTTTTTAGTATATGAATTTTGGAATCTAGGGATTTTTGAGTATATGGATTTTGGGATCCAAAGATTTTTTGGTATATGTCTTTTGGAATCTAGGGTTTTTTGGTACATGGATTTTCGGATCTAGGGATTTTTGAATATATGAATTTTGGAATCTAGGGATTTTTGAGTATATGGATTTTGGAATCTACGGATTTTTTAGTATATGTATTTTGGAATCTAGGGTTTTTTGGTACATGGATTTTCGAATCTAGGGATTTTTGAGTGTATTTTAGGATATTAGGGTTATGTTAATGTAGAAATTTAGGAATTTTGGAATTTGAGAACAAGGAAATTTGGGAATTTTAATATTTCAGAAATTAGGATATAAAAATGTTTAAAGACAAAGAAATTTGAAAATTAAAAAATACAGCAATCTCATTACTTACAATTTTGAGATTTGAAGAACCAGAATTTTGAAAATTTGAGAATCTGAGGACTCAAAAATTTGGAAATCCGGAAATTTGATAGTATGAAAATTTAAAACTTTGAAATTTCATAAATTTGGAGCTTTGACAATTTAAAAATTAATTTAGAAGTCTGTCAGTTTAAAAAATTCCTAAATTGAAAAACAACCTACAATAGAAATTTGGAAATTTGAAAATCTACAAATTTGTACAACTTAAAAATGTAGAAATTTAAAAAGTTTTGAACATTCTCAATTTCAAAAATTTAAAAACGTCAACATTTACAAATTTGAGAATATGAAATCAAATATTCTCAAAACATTCAAGTTTTCAAATGTGAAACTGAATATTCAGAAACCTGTCAAGAATAAATATGCGTTCTAATCGATAAGAAACCTACGTTCCCAAGTGTACTTTTTCTACTCCCACATGTTCGTAAGAAAGCGAAAGTCAGCTATTTGCAGGTTGATTAATGTTTCGTTGACATTGGCCGATCTTCCAACCGAAAAAGAAAGGACCAGATACTTAAGGGAAGGAAATGTCCGAGAGATCTTTATTTGTCTACCGCGCACACGACTTCCGGTAGAAAGTGAAGCTAAACATCCCTCTGAGTAACCGGAAGAGACAATGGTATTAGCTGAAAATAGCTCAGAGTTTCTTCGAATGGTTTCCTTCCATTTGCTTTTTCTATACTCAGTGAAGTATTTCTTTTATATTTTTTTGAGAAAAAGAAATTCGAAATTATATTAATAAAAAAATTTGTATTGATAAGTAAAATATTTACTTGTAAAGTAAAAATTTCGCAATGATAATAAAATGTTTAAATTATTTCTATTTAACAAGATATGATCGTATTTTATTTTACGTAGCAAAATATTTGTATTAATAAATAAAAATACAGTAGTGATAATAAAATGTTCAAGTTATTTTTATTTAACAATATACAATTGTATGGATTATTATTTTACGTAAGATATTTGCAACATTGTACAACGAAAGGTTAACGTCTTCATAGAGTAATTTTGTTATTATTATAATAGTTGTAATAAAGAATACATCAAAGTGTATTTTTTTTTTTAATAAAAATATACTAATATTGTGGTAAATATGTAAATTATATGTAAGTCAGTTTAAATCTCCCGCGCGTCGAGCGCTACCGACGCCATATTGCTTTTATTTCGCGCCAAAATCGTACACTTCTTCATTTTCTGTTGCTTTTGGGATATTTCTTTTTACAAATAATTTATAAGAATAAATAAAGAAAATTAATTAAAAGTATTTTATTATCGAATCAATAATTTTAAGGTTAATTAAAAAAAACAGCTTTCCTTTTCATAAAAGTGCGACTTGTTTAAAAGAAAAAAATATGAATACGTTTAATTAAATATTTCAGTAAAGGAATAAGGTAACTTGTTGTTGCATAAAGTGAATCTTACAAGTGATAAGAACTGTTGCTTATAATATTTATATTTATTAATATTTATATACTTTCTTGCTTATAATATTTCTATTATAGAAATTATTTGTATGAACGTCATACAAATTATTTTAACAAATTTTATACAAATTATGTTCACAAATTTTGTGCGAACTATTTGTACAATTAACGTGTAAAAATCTCGTGCAAATTAAATAAACTAAAAATAATTTTCAGTATAATGAAAGTTGTTGATTTGCAAAAATAGAATCGAGTAGAGTAAAATTTGTTAGTTTGTACAAACATTGAATTGTTGTAATCACATTAGGATCTACTTAAGCAAATTAAATTGTAAATGTTAATTCGTGCAAATCGCATGTACATGTAAACCCAGCTTTAGGTATACATATAACCGAGTGTAAAGTAGTTATATGAAAACGAGCTGACCGCCATAGAATCTTGTCTCCTAGGAGATGGCACGTGTGACCACTTATACAAGGTATAACTACAAACGCCTCGTTTCGTCATCGTGTTTGAAGATCGCTTTTCAAGTAGCGGTTATTGAACAGACAGGTATGTGTAAGTACATATGTTCATCTCTCGGTGTACAACATTTAGCAACTTGTACCGATTTAACGCGTTCACTGATATGATGAACATGTCTGGAAACTGATCGGAAGGTAACTAGTGAAAAAGAATTATGCATAAATTTTCAGGTTTGAAATTTGGAAATTTTGTGATTTGGGAAATTAGTAGTTTGCAAAGTTGGTAATTTAGGTATTTTGTAATTTGGGAAATTAGTAATTGTGAAATTAGTGATTGGGAATTTTGGTAATTAAGTAATTAAGTAATTATGTATTTAGGTAATTTAGGAAATTGGAAATTAATTTTGGTAGTTTGGGAAATTGGTAACTTGATATTTTGTTAATTAAGTAACTGAGAAAATTGTTAATTTGGAAAGTTGATAATTTGGTACTTTGGTTATAAATTACTTATTGTTAGTTAGGAAATTTCAGAAATTAGAAATTGCTAATTTTGTAATATTGCAATTTGGTATCTCGGTAATTTGGTATTTTAGGAAATTGGTAAGGTGCTAATTTGGTAATTTGGTTACATAATGATCTGGTAATTTGATACTGTACTTACAAATTTTATAATATAGCAATTTTGTAATTTGGTAATTTTGTGATTTCCTAATTTGGAGATTTGGAAATTTCAAAATTTGGAAACGTAGAAATTTAGAAACTAGTAAATATTAAATCTTCAAATTTACAAAATTATAAATATTGCAATTTTCAAGAATAAAAATTTTAAAAAATGAGTAATGTGATAATTTAAGAATTTTAAAATTTCAAATTTGTTAATAAATTTTTAGATATCAAAATTTCTTATTTTCCACGTTCCCAAGTTACAACACTTTCAAATTTTCGAATCTAGAAACATAATTTTTCTATGTTCCAAAATTTCTAAATTTCCAAATTACTAAATTCTCAAACTTCCAAAACTAATACAAACAATCAAAAGTTAAAAACTGCGTGGTAATTATTTCAAAAGCAGATGGTTTTCCAGTCTCGATGATTGCTAAATGTTACAACAACCGCCATTTTATACAACTTGTTTCTATACACGTAACGGTCTCATAGTTTTCGAGATATTCGCAAAAAACTGTCACAACTGTCTCACCCAATTCTGCCCATATGCACGTATCTGCGACACGGTCACAAGCATATTCGGCATTCATACATCGCGTATTTTTTCCGTTTATTTTTTTCAACACGTACTCGGAAAGATGGACGAGATCGGTTAGGCTACATTTTTTCGCGGTCATCTTGCGCCGGAGATCTTCTAACTCGAACCGAACATTTTCAAAACATCTCCGAACCTAAGAACGAACGGAGGTTACGCGTAGGAAAAAGTTATTCAGAACGTCGAACTTGGCGACATATTTCAAGATCATTGAAATCGACGAAACAAACGCTGTCAAAAATTCGATTTTTACATACGTCATTCCCATCACCGACGGATATGATATTTGTAGTTAGAACGTCGATACCAGTGGAATGACATATAGCGTGTGCTAAACGCTTGGGGGGCAGCAATAAAGTCTGACCTCAAATTATACGTCTTCATTACGAATAAACAGTTAATAATCGTTGGCTATAATTATCCCGACTATCCAATGATTGGTATTGACAGCGTGTGTTCAGCGTTTCAGCTTGAGTGAACTTGCTTACATAACGATCAAGCTTACTTCTGTGGAATGTGAATAAACTGTTGGAATTATAACCTTTACATCGCATAAATTTTGATAAGAAAATACAGGACGTAAAGCACTGTCTGCGTGGTCTGATCTTACAGAAATAAATCAAAAGAAAAGGAATATAATTTCTTTAAATGTTTAATTTTGTCTTTTAGAATATAGAATCTGAAAAATCCTAATAATATTTACAAATAAATTACTGCTTTAATTAAGAAGATAACTTCAAGAGTTTTTCAATAATTCAATAATTTAAAATAATAAAAAAATAGAGAAAAATTAACAATGCAATCAAAAACACAATACTATTAAAATTAATATTATTAAGACAGTAAAAAGAAAACATCACACATGTTATTAACACTCCAGACAATTTTTAGTACACACCAAACACAAATACATTAATATAGACAATATACAAATGCAATTAAATACAAATTAATATACAAATGCAGACCGCAAAGGATTAATTTCATAATTGCAAAGAATGCAATATTCCATTTATAAACAGTTATTATACACACCTATACTCCTGTTATTCGTAAACAATTCCAAATCCCGTTATGATGATATAAATCCCTTATTTTACGCTACAACAGTACAAAAGAAACACAGACACATCTAAACAACAACAGTCCGAATTTACTATTCCATTCATTCGCGACCGTTAAATTAAAATGTATACACTTTCACTGACACTCGAATAAAATAGTTACAGAGTTAGAAATATCGATGTTGAACTTGTTCTTGTTCGTACACAATCGAAGGGGAGAACCGTTGGTAGATTTACGTGGACGCAGAGACGTTTATTGGCTACAGATCCTGCAACGCTGAGATAAATTCCCTATTTAGTGTTGTAGTCGAAACACGGAAGAAAAGAAATGTATCTAAACAGCAAAAACTGAATTTCGAACATTCCACAACACAAGACATTGCATAAATATAACAAATTCTCATATTTTTTTATGTTCTTAGCATTTTGAAATTATGGCCAATATTCCTGAAATGTGTAAACGTTAAATTGTGTACAATTGACGTATTAACGTAAATATCAAAATTCAGAATGAAACCTGAACTTAATATACCAACCTTATATATTATCTCCATTTTGGTGTCAATCGAGTTTCATAAGTAAACAAATTCATTATATCTCCATTTGCTTCATTTTACATTCGCAAGATTCGTTTATAAAGGTTAGAAAATGAAATGCATCGCGGAAAAGAACTTCCAGAGAGAGAAAAACCACGATGATTTTCGCATTGTTACGGTTATATCGCGAAACAAATAGGTCGTTAAAAACGTACAATTGCCAATTATGTTAGTAAAAGATGTAATCACGAGAAGAAGCGTTCAGGCTACCCTCCGAAAGTGTCCCCTCGAAATAAACGTAAAATTCTACGATTATAACTCGGCAATGTAAATTGGTTCAAGTGCGAGATTATTGCAAATTAAATGTTGCGAAAACCATCCGTGGAATTATTGTTGGGTTTCGAAATGAATTCCATGACTTTCCTTTAATTTAACAATTTATTAGCTACTTATACACGTCTTTATTCTTCGGGTTTCAAATATATTCTATTCGCCACGTGTCAACCGTCGCGGATCGGCAATCTTGCGCCGAAAATTGTCGAAGATTGCCGAATCGTTCCGATTGCCTCCGAACATCCTAGCGGAGATATGCAGTCTTTCTCTAATGTTTCTTTTCAACAATTATTATAACATCTCTGCACACTGTTAACGCGAAAATGATATCGACATATAAAACAAAGATAAATCAACGAAACTTTCATTCTCTGAAGTAAACACGAGTACGGATTGGAAAAATGTTAGTATAAATATTTGTTTTAAAAGAAACGAATGTTTCGTAGTTACAATTTGTTTTTGTAGGTTATATTTAGTGTGGAGGAAAAATTCAATCTAGGTAGGCCAGATGTTTTAATTCGTATTGACACGATATACAAGAAGATGTGAAATATTTTTCGTAACACAACTTTAGCTCGGTTACGATTTATTTCCCGGCGCTCATGCGTCGTAAATTGTCGACAATTACCGAATTGTTCCGATTGTCTCGAGAGACGTCCTATGGCAAATACGGTTATCCTTTTTTCAGCATTCCTTTTTAACAATTATTGTAACATCTTTGCACACTGTTAAGATGAAAATATCGTCGACAGATTCGATAAACAATGATAAATCTGCGAGACTTCTATTTGCTGAAGCCAATACGCCTACGGATTGAAAAAATGTTAGTAAAAATATCTATTTTATATGAAATGGATGTTTCGCAAGTACAATTTCTTTTTTGTAGGTTAGATTTAGTGTCGAGAAACAATTCAATCTACGTGAACCAGATGTTTTAATTCGTATTGACACGCTAGATGATGAACACGATGTCGAACACGAGAAGATGTGAAATATTTTTCGTAACACAACTCTGTTATGATTTATTTCGGTTCTTGGAAAAAATTTCATATCATTTATTTTCCGCAACATGAACAATAATAATGATACGCTAGAAAATTATTTAAAGCCCTATTGTAGAGAATACCACAGTGAAAATTCAATTTTCATGCAGGATAATGCATCGGGTCATTTTGCACGTTCATTAAGGGAGTTTGCCGAAAATAACATTCCGTTATTAGATTGACCTGCACGTTCCTGTAGCGTTATCCTATTAAAACTTCACGGGAATATCGATATAATTTTTTAAAATAATCGTACATATTCTAATGTGGATAAATTAAAATTTGTTACAGTTGACACATGGAATAATGAAGAAGAAAATATAGTAAAAAATGTTACTGGTAATATGCCAAATTTTCGTCACGTGACGATGAGAACATGGTAAATTATTAACTTTCATATTTTTATATATAAAACACAATAAAGCAGTTTTTTTTAAAAAGTTGGTATATTTTGTGGAACGACTGAAAATATTTATGCAAATCTGCTGAATATTCACTCAAATTTTTTTTAACACAATTTATTTACACATTAGTATAAAATATTGACCATAATTTTCAGCTGAAGACTCAAATAAAAGGGGGTGGTATATTTATGCAACTTCTATTCACTCACGGTTTCTGAATTAAATATAACTTTCACTGGCACTTGAATAATAATCATAAATATTTAACATACAATTTGTTTTTGTTAATAGGAAAATAATAGGAAGTTTACAGGAGAGAACCTATTTCACAATTACGTGGACGCATAGACTGGTTCAGATTCTATAGTAAGATAAATTCCCTATTTAATAAACCGCACACTGAAAAACAAAAAATGCAGTTAAACGACAGAACATCATAGAATTCACTCGCGATCGTTAAATTAAATATAGACACTTTCACCGACACTCGAATAAAAATATAAATATATGAATGTCACAGAATCCGTGTTAGCTGATACGTAATGGAACGTTGTAATTAAATATTTTCACTGCACTTTCACTGATACTCGAAGAAAATAAATATATTTTTGTTTTGTTTTTGAAGGACAGTACCGTTGGGAGATTACGTGGACGCTGAGACGCAGCAACATTTACTGGCTTCTGCGTGTTCGAGTGCCCTTCTGCGCGTACTTTTTTCGTTCAGCAGCGAAGAAAGTGCTATTTCTGCTGGCGGGGAAAACCACTTCCCCGGGAGATATGCAAGGGAATGGTAATGGAAGCTGAAAGAAGTCGCGCGAGAGCTGACGTTACAAGAAATTGCGTGCTTGTGTAGCTAAGCTTCCTCCGGAAATAGGAGAAATAACTGGATGCTGAGATTACGGGTAAATTTTCGCTGCGCGGAATTTCCTTTCGAATCGAGCTACTTATTCGCTTCGAATAATAATATTGGGTTAAACGTTCTCGGAAGTCAATACATTCAGTGACAAAAGTATAGAACACGGTACAAAATCATACAAATCTGTGTTAATTTTTAAACTTAAGCTTTTCTTGTGTTGTGCTGTTTTTCTTTGGTGTGTCATTAAGTTAGTGAACTCAATAAGTGTTATATGAATAATTGTTTTTTACTATTTCAAAATAAAGAATACCTTCATTTAGAAAAAGTAATAATGATTACATTTATAAAAATAATAAAAAAGATAACATTTATTACAATGATATAATAATGACAATTATAAAAATAATAATTTAGGGAAACATACACTATTTTCTGAAAGTATTAAAAACAATTTAACAGTGAAATTGTTGTATGTAACTGTGTGAATGCATTTCTTGTATTGAATATAAATATTTGTCGTTGAATGTAAATGTGTGGTTAAAAGGAAACAAAAGGCGTTTCTTGAAAACAAGATGGCGCGAGTCTGCAAATCAACATGGCGTCGGTTCATTCATAAAACTGTGGCTCACAATTACTTTTTGAAGAAATGAGGCAAATCTGAGTAACTTAAAATGAAAAACTATAAATTTAACCCTATAATCTGTGATAAAATTATAAGATATTGTGAAAGTGTTTATTTTTGTAAAAAATGAAGGTAAAAATGGTATTTGAATTACTTGTTAGTAATGTGGCGCCATTGTTAATGTTATATAACTTGTGACATTTTATAACGTTTTGGAAGAGATTTGAATGACTTTTCTTGCTTTCTATTCTTAATTTTTTTATTTCTTTATAAGTTAAGTTTTTAAATAATATGATATAATAAAAAATCACTAATAATGTATTCAAATATTTAATATTTGCATTCATTAATTTATTATCATATCTTAATCATTAAATTAATGTAAACCTCATTGAAATCAACATTTTTCTTGACGCAAGCCACTGTTTCTACAAATATGTATACAAATTTTCAAAATCAATTTCTTTAGAAATGAAACCGAATATGGCATAATGATATTTCTTTTCGACTTATTTTTTTAACATAAATTTACTTATATAACCAAATTAAATCCCTGAAGTCGTTGATAACCAACATGGCGGCAGTGTTAAAATAAAAAATCTGAAATCGATTATTTCGAAGGACACGTTTATTATAACGTTGAATATTAATAACGAACCAACAGAGTATTTTTACTTGGTTTATATCCTTATTTATCCCCAACACTGTCTAGTAATTTGAAGTAAGAATTATCTCGTGGCGAAACTGAGAAGTTCCCGCTTCCCGTGTTGCCCGTAAGAAAAGTCGAGACAAAGAACAATTTCGCCAACGCACAAGTTTCAAGTGAAGAAGCAATATTTTCTCGCGCTTTCTTCTCCAAAGTATTCTTCGCGCAATTACGCGGCCGTCACGGAGTCCGATTTTGCAATTTGGCTCTCAAAATGTTATAAAGGTATATTTTTGTTTTTAACAAAATTTTAAGAGTCGAATCGCAAAATCAGGCACCGTGAGCCGCGTAATTATACGAAGAATATTTTGAAGAGGAAAGTACGAGAAAATGTCGCTTCGTTGCTTGAAAATCTTGCGTCGGCGAAATTGTTGCTGTACTTGTCCCCCCACCGTGGAGTCCTCCCACCGTGGATTAACGCTAGAGGGCGGAGGACCGACGGAGTTTCTCGTATTCCGCCGCATGAGGCCGTCAAAGTTGATTCAGAATTAATCCGTCGCTCTAAAAGATGCTTAAACATTGTTCGAAAGTTGCAGTACATATAACCGTCATAAACTTGTTGTTATGGCTATCTGCCACAACGGGACTATAAGGAGAAGAAAATAAGTTACTTTGTAGATCGAGTGAAAAATCTCCGGAGAATAAAGCATCATGCGGAATGACCTTGGCGAACTTTTCTTGCGGAAAAATTGCATGGATATTCTTCGAAGCACCCTCGGAACTCTTTCTATGCAAGAAGCAATGGCAATATGAAGGTCCAGTTTATTGTCTGAACGTGAGAACAAAGTAACCTTGTGTGCAATATACGTTCCACTTGGGGATACTGTTATTTTATCCCTTCAATGCACGTCTTCATCTTTTATATCCGTTTGAAACAACTACTGAAGTAATTTTTAAATTCGGGTACGATTGCGGGACTGAAATTTTTATTCTAGTGTAGATTCGTTTTTGGGATATTTTTGATAACCTAAGTCGCAGAGTTTAAGAATAGTTTTAGGTACAACGACAGTTATGGGGTAGTCAGATAAGGGGTACATTTTGAGAATCTATTTGTTGCGTTTGTATGTTAAATAAAGTGAAATTAACGATTTATTATGTAAATCATGCAGTAAAATTAGAAAGTTATAGAATATTATAGAATATTTGCCACTGCAGATTACATTAAGTGATACTTGAAATCAAGCAAGGGTAAGTAAAACTAATTTGAACAATTTTATATTGATTAGATTAGGTTAGATATAAATAAGAATGAATAAATCTTAAATTAAGTATCGGATTTATTTTAATTAAGTTACATTAGATTAAAACCTTAAATAAGAACAGATACATCTGAATAATAAAATTATTTATTAGATTAGATTACGTTAGATAAGACATGCAGTAACGGATTTACCTAGGTTAGGTTATGTAAAGCTTAATTCAGAATAAATAAATTTAAATAAAATTGTGTGTAAGATTAGGTTATGTTTACAGAGATTTGAAGTTTATGAAAACAAATAAATTGAAGTTAAATAATAATGTAACTAGAAATTCATTGTATGAATTTTCTACTCCCGACTTTTGTTGTACCTTTTTAATGAAGTGTTTAAAATTGTGTGTCAATATAATGTTATTTTTACGTGCGGAATATTTTGGCAAAGTTTGGTGGTAAGAAACTAGAACTATACGCACTGCGGTCATATATATGGCCTTCAGATATATAGCAGTTATTTGTATGGCGCGCATGTATAATAATTATATTCATAGAGACTGATAGATGTTATCTATGAACTAAAAGTGATAAATGTATATTAAATGATTATATTCCGAATTTGGTGTAAGATGGGAATGATACTTAAAAAATAAATAAAAAGAGCAAAAAATTCATAACAAATTTAATATCAACATGAAAAGACGATCACGTTTATAAATAAATAAATAAATATTGGGACAAGTGTAATGCAAAACGAGTTTTATACATGTATTCATTTAAATATGTCAAAAAGAAAATGGCGAAAATTAAAGAAGAATTAAATATGCAGAAATGGAAACAAGAATTTGAAAAGTAATCAGCGTCTTAAAAAATTTAAAAAATTAAGATCATACTAAATATTCAATTATTTAAAATTCTAATAATATTAAAATGGGAGGAACTTCCTAAAACTAAAAAAGAAAGCATTAAAATTATTTAAAAATATTTGAAGAATATTTAAAATTATTAAAATATTCATGTTACGTCGGAAATAAATAAATGATAAAAAAAATGAAATAAAATCGAAATAAAATAATGAAATATTTTACAATAATAATTTGCAAATTATGTTTGAGTTAATTTTATAAAACCAAACAATTCAACTGCGCGAGTAACAGCCATCTTGAACTTCTGTCATAACTTTCTAATAAAGCCTTCAAAACCCTACGTTAACGTAATATCTTATTTTTGCGTACAGAATACGTCGATAAATTTTCACGGCAGAACCCCATATATAACGTACAGCACGTAAAGAAATCGAAAGGATATTTTCTACCAGAAACATATATCGAAAAAGATATTTTATTCGAGGTAAAAATAATAAAATGAAGATACCGACATTTCGTGTTGATGATAATCCATCGAAAGGGGTTTCCCAAAGAAGAAATACGGATTCGTACGTAATACGAAGGAAAAACGTGTGCAGTCAAGTGTTATGTGAATTTCGCCTAAGGGCAGAAGGATTTTTATAGATCGCATAAATTCACGATACGATCGCTTCTCTCTCGAATTTTCTCTCCGCTGTGCAAGCCGGATCTTGTCCCTCGAGTATACACCTTCAACGGTGTCGATCTAATGTAAAGCAAAGCTTTTTGTAGCACATTTACGAGTGACAACTAATCTTCTGTCGGTGTATTTTGTTTACCTGTCACACGTAGCCCATAAAACCTGGTATTACGTATGCACCTCCCGGTATTACAAGATAAAGATCTTTTAAAGCTTCTGGCTAATCCTTTGCTATTACGTTTTTGTTAGGTTAGATTTGTCACTTCGGAAAATTAGATATGCAAAAACTAAGGTTGAAACATCATTAAAAATAGGTGATGCTAAGTTTTGAAATGAACTTCACCATTCTCTCTTCAATTTAATAACTTATTACACTACACAATAACTTGTTACACTACACGTTTTTACTACTTGCGTTCTGCATCGAAACTACGCGTCACGTGACAATCGACGCGGACCGGCAACCGGCGCACCGAAAATTATCGAAGATTACCGAATCGTTCCGAATGATGCGTCCTGTCAGAGAAATGCAGTTAATCCTTTTGAACGTTTCTTTTTAACAAATAAAATGAACATATCGGTGATATCCAATTATCTAACTTCTGAATATTATGACTTGAAGCGACTGAAGACCCCTGTGTCGTTTAATCGTCGATAAATATTGCTGACATACGTACAGTTCTTGTGATTCACAAAGTAGCGTCATGTGTCCTTTAATCCTTCGATGTGCAGAATGTTTGAAAGAGAATTTTAAATGCTCGCGACGGTAATTCCGAGAGAAAATGTTGGAGGAATTTTTTTTTGAGGAAGCTTATCTTGGAAAGTTATCTTATACATTTGCTTGTAAATTTTCTGGTAATTTCTGAGGTAATGAAGTACAAGTTTGAATAAATTAATATCCGTTTTTATTACATACCTGTACGCTATGGGTATTTTATTTTACTTATTCATGTTATTGGAAAGTGGCTGGTAATTGGCTTAAATAATTTTATGTCGCATGTTTGTAAAATTGTAAATTCTTCTGCTTTTAAATTTGAACATTTGGGGACTTGGAAGTTTTTGGTTTCTGTATCTCTGTTTTTGTATCTTCATGTATATTTATTTTTCTATATTTCTCTAATTTGATATTATTGTAATTAAGTTTGTAATTTTAACTATACTAAAATCGAGAAGTTTCTCAATTTCTGAATATCCAACTTTTTCAACTTTAAACTAAAAGTTAAACAATTTTTTTAAATTTCTGAATGTCCACTTTTATAAATTTTTGTTTTAATTTTAAATTTTGAAGTTTCATTTGTAACTTCTTAAATGTCACATTTTTAGAATAAAACTATTCTTCCAGAAATTTAAATCCTTAAATTTCTGAATTATTTAAGTTATATGTTTTTAGGTGTATGAATATTCAAGTTACTAAATAACTTATAAAATATTATTAAATTATCACACTATCAAAACAAATTACATATCTAAAGTTTTCAAACTCAAAAATATGAAAAGTTGAAAATCTGAAATTGCCATTGTGCACACTGATGCCCTTGAACTTTCTGATGGGCACTTAATCTGCCCATCATTATTGTAATCCAATCAATAGAACGTGTTAAACGGATTTGGCAAAAACAGAAAACATTTAATCCTCTTTATGTTTTTCTGTATTCATGATATGTATGTTACATATGTATGTTACCGTGAAAGACCGAAATTGGAGAATGTCGACTTTCACCGGTGAATGTCAACACATACCAAATACGTTGGTGAAAGATCGAATATTTTGTTACATTCTTGTAAATTCGGACCTTCACCGGTGTATGATGTCGACAATCACAGATATGCTCTGGTGAAGGTCCAAAAGAGAGAAGCCGACAAAGAAGCGACTGGCTCTCTCCCGCCAAATCCTGTGTTCTGCTGGGAGTCAGTCAGCTTTGCCAATTTTATGTAAGCTTTGATGATGCGAGCAACGTTTTCTTAATTTTTTTTTCCAATACCGTAATTTATACTGAATGGATACTGCAGTAAATCGTGATCTTTTTCTTGAAAAGTTAATTGCATAATTGCGGGTAAACGAGAAGACAATTGTTTTTATTTTTCTCAAGAAAAGTACTCTAAAATACTTTCTAAAGTGGTTTCTGCTAAAACTAAGTGCAACACACCTTTGGATTACAGACGATTAAAACGTTTTGACGTTTTAAAAATTAATGATGAAAGGAAATTAATTGTACTATTAAAATCAGGGGAAACGAATATACAGTATTATGTTACCAATGAAGAAGTGTTCAGTATACTACATGAAACTCACGCCAGAATAGGTCACGGAGGAAGAACACGTACGCTTAGAATGTACTATATGTTTTAAATTTTTGGTCACTCCTCTCAGAAAAAGAGGCGAAAAAGTTACGTCACCCTTTTGTGATGTTTTATAGCGACTGAATTACGGAGAAGAAAATATAAATATAAATTTTAATATTAAATTTATATACAAATCTTGATAAAAATTGATAAATACCAATTTATACAAATTATATATAAATTTAAAATTAATTTAATTACAAATGGTGTGTATATACAAGTTGTAATTTTAATATTATATTTATATAAATTTATATTGATAAAAATTGTATGTATAATATCAACAGAATATTAAGTACAATAAATTCATACATTAAAACTATTTCTTCAAACACATATGTACTAGATTAGCAACTAAATAAATTCACAAATGCCGCTTTTTGTTATAACACTAAAACTTAACGAAGACATCCTTTATATACAAAATCATAGCAAAATTAAATATATTTGTTAAATTTCACCTGTTAAATAAGTTATACATACTTAACAAATTGATGCTAACTTCCTGTTAAAAATTAATTATTCTAATATTTCAGATATTTAATATAGTTAATTTCAATTCATAATATTATCAATAATGTTGTAAATATGTTAAATGATATAAAACAGATTATTTATCATAATATCGCAACTTATGTTTTATAACGTAGTCAAAGAGTACGTGCAAGAAGCAGTATTCCGGCATTTACCTTTGATGTACGGCAAAGCCTCCCTTTAAGCTGGTTGTACAAACGCGCGGGAAATTTAAATCAAGTGAATTTCATTCTACGTCAAGCTCTTATAATTACAAATTTATTTATCGTCAATGTTCTACGTATTACTAATATTTTCTTTTGAAGTATTTACATCAGTTTTATCACATTAAAAAGCTAAAAAAAGAAGATATATTAAAATAATTACTCTACAAAATATATTTGAATATATACTACCGAAATAAATATTACAAATAATTTATAAAAAAACTATTTATTACAAACTACTTATACAAGAAAATACAGATGAATGTTTAACAAGGAAATGACAAAATATTGTTTACAAATAAATTACAGATCAATGTATTACAGGGAAGGACAAAATCTTAACTCGTGTTTATTACAAATTACAAAGAAAATAACCAAATATTTCTTCTGAATAAGTTACAAATAAATGACAGAGGAATGTGCATGTACAAAGCGTTGTTTGCCGAACGTCATACTTGCACACTATGCAGATTCGCATTTCGGAATAAGTACCACGTCGAAATCGTATCTTCAGCTCGCTTCATTTGTCCTAGCCATTTAAATTCCTTGTATTATTCCGTTTCTCTCTAATAGTAATTTCTTTGTCAGAGTGTTTTTTGTTATACCTTCTCTTTGACATAGTTGTTTGTATTTAATTTAGTTAAGAAATGAGTCTGGAGTTCGCGCCGTTGCGTTGCACAGCGAAATCTAGCATACGTCGGAAGTGCGAGTCTCATGCTAAGGAAGATACAGGTGTTCCACCTACCTTCACCATCTTGAATATCTTGCTTATTTTTTCTGATAGAAGAAAGTGTTAGATGGAAACATTTTGTTCAATCGGGCAAATATTATGGTGGTTAAGAAATTTTTCTCAGGGTCATTTTTCCCGAGATTTCAAGGTCATTAAAGTTCTTAAATGGGAAAATATTTTCATCAGCATGGCATGATGAGGTCAAGACAAATTCAACAACCTGTAATACTATGACCTTCGCGACCTTGAAATACAAGGAATACATAAAAGCTAGATAACTGAGTACAAAGTGAAATAAATTATAGAAAGATTAACGGAGGAAATCGGTGGTAGTGCAGGTATTTGATGGCCTGCACCTTCACCAGATCTAACACCTTCAGATTTTTTTGGGGTGCGATTAAATCGGCAGTTTATAACGACATTCCAAAAATGCTGTAAAACAGGAAAGAACGTAATAGAACTGCATGTGTTAATATCAATGAACAAGCTATAAAAATCGCCAGAGACTCGTTCATTAGTCGTTTAGAAAGTAGTGAGACTGCCGGACATCATTTTGAGCACTTATTACAATAAAATTTCCTCCGTTGATCTTTCTATCAGTTATTTCACTTTGTCCATCAGTTATCTAGTTTTTATGTATTTTTTCTACTTCACGGTCACACGAAGGTCATAGTCTCATAGGTCGTTGAATTCTTGATCTCAGTTATCGTACCATGCTGATAAAAATATATTATCCCATTTAAAAACTTTAATGATCTTGAAATTTCAGAAAAATGACCTTGAGAAAAATTTCTTAATTACCATAATATTTGCATGTTTGAACAAAATAATGTTTTTCTCTGACATTTTCTTCTATCGTAAAAAATAAGTAAGATATTCAATATGGTCAACTTAGGTGAAATATTCTGCATATGGCGTCATGACGCTTTAACTCTAATAAATGTCTTATTTATATACTGTATGCAAATCTAATTTTTATTTAGTTAAACCAATTTACAACTTTCACTTTATTTTTATATTATCAAGTAAGATTCAATTTATCTCTTCAATTCGTATTGAATTGTCGACGATATAAATAATGTAAGAATATCGATGTCACATCAAAGTTATTTCAGATTTAATAAACAGTTTCTTTAGAATACTATAATATTCGGAGCACACCTGCCTCCTTTGAAATCGTATAATACTTTGATATGTAGCTATGATCCCATTGACCTTTCATAAAGATCAGAAGTCAGAAATGGTTTCACGTTCATATATTTTAAGAGAAAGTTCTCTTTGGGGTAAAAGCAGACTAGCAATACCGAATAATAAATAAGAATACGTCTCCTTTTTGTTCATTTCTTATTCTGATCTCATGTGGAGCGCTTTGTAGTTCAAATATTGTCTGATTGATAGATATTTAATAATGGAAATTTAGACGTTGTTTAATTTACTGATTTGCTGATTGTGAGATACAAATTTTGAAATTTGGAAATTGTTTAATTTAATAATTTACTGATTGTGAGATACAAATTTTGAAATTTGGAAATTGTTTAATTTAATGATTTATAAGAACAGAAATTTGGAAATTGTTTAATTTAATGGTTTGAAAAGA